TGTGTGTGTGTGTGTGTGTTTGTGTGTGTGTGTGCGTGTATGTGTGTCCACACTGCTTGGCAAAGTTGTTATTAGGTATCTAATGAATATTTCATTATTCAGATTGACGAGGAGTCTTATTAAAATATGAAGATGTTGAAATTAATTGTCAATTAGAGGTGGAGTGTCTTAATTTGAGGGGATATAAATGGGTGCAGTCGAGTGGCAACGCGTGTGTGTGTGTATTTGTGTGTACTTTTGTGTGTCTGGATGATGTGTTGATCACAGGGGGATCAGCTGCCATTAACATCTAATGGGAAATCAGGAAGAGGCGTGTTCTGTCACCACTGGAGACGAGCCTTGGGGTCAGGGATTGGAGGAGGAGGGGCAGGGGAGGAGCGTCAGGAATGGAAACAAAGCTTGGCCTCAATTAACAGGGTTCGACTGTTGCCGTGGTGATGTGGCAGGGTTGTGGCGTTAATGAAGTACCTGTTAAACAGCCCCGCCCCCTCCAGTCATCTTAAATGGTACGGAGAGGGGGCAGAGTAGAGAGAGAGGCAATTCACACATTTTACATACATATAGACAACACATACACACACACACACACACACTGTGGTTTTAATTAGTCCTAAACTAGCATCCCTACAACGGTTGTCCCACAGAGACTGGACACGTTTTTTGTGTATGTGTGTGCGTGCGTGTGCAAGGCTCTGCCTAATTGGGCTGTATTAGTCCGTGAAGACTTTGCCATCGCAGAGTGTGTGTGTGTGTTCCCGTCTTACAAACATGCTGTCGTGTGGTTTTGTTTTTGTAAGCTCAGGGTTAATTGCAGCCAGCGCTGTGTATATAAATATATGTTCATGTTCAGTGTGTGTGATTGTGTATGTGTGGTTCTGTACCAGGATGTGGGTTTGCTTTTGGGAACTGGTAGAGACGGAAATTCACGAGGAATATCAATAGCTTTATTTTGTTTTTGTGATGAAGTGAGTTTACATCAGTAACTCTTCCTGGATTTAGCTTCCATACTGCTGTCAGTTAAATAACTTCAAATTTAAGGTCCTCCTGGCCCGTGTAGTTTCATTTGTGAGCTCTATGTTTGACAGCATTAGTAAAACCCCTAATTTATCAATATTCTTACACAACTAATCAACAAAACATTATCCACGAAGATATTTGTCATGTATATGACACAAACAAATCATCTAATGCACTGATATCACCTGACCCTGATCTTATCTACATGATGCTTCCCTGTAAACCGCAGCAGCAGATGGTGAAGCTTTAAACATGAGTGAAGCATCAGTCATATATATAAAATCTTTGTCCCCAAACTAAAACAACTCTTCACACTTTGGACAGAAACTAAACATTTTTATTTTACACAAAGTTAATTTAGCCCCTTTGATGTGTAATATAATGTTTCACACCTTTTCAGGCTGATATCAGTCTACTCAAGGTAAATTGATACATACTGCAATGATTAAACAACCTATGTCAGAGTATAGAGTCTTAATGGAGCAAGTAAATTGTCTGTATTTATTTATTATTATTTATTATTAAGTGCCTTTCTAGTCTTGAC